TATTGGACTGAAAAGAGGACTTCACTTGCTTTCCTAATTGACATGCATCACAAATGTGGTCCTTAGTAAAGTCTAGTTTTGGTATTCCTCTAACTAAGTTCTTTTGGGTAATCATTCTAAGTTTTTCATGCTAGAATGACAATGTCTCCTATGCCAAAGCCATGACTCATCAGATACAGTTTTCAAACAAAAAGTAGTAGGAGATTGAATATAATTTAAGTCTAGCATATACATATTATTTACCCTTTTACCATTCAAAACATCTTTACCATTTAGGCTTAATATGCAGCAAGTAGGAAAAAATTTCACACAATATCCTTTATCACATAGCTGGCTTATACTTAATAGGTTATGTTTTAAGCCTTCTACTAATAACACATTCTCAATGTAAAATTTATTAAGATTTCCAATCATAACTGATCCAACCACCTTCCTTATGGTGTTATCTCCAAGTGTAACATTGCCTCCACTCCTGACTTCCAGCGATATGAATTGTGCGGTATCTCCAATTATATGCTTTGAACATCTACTTTCCAGGTACCATATGCTCTCACGAGGTCTTGTGTGAGAGCGACCCTGCAAAAATAACAAACGTTAGACCCAGGAACCCAAACAAGTTTGGGTTCACCTTTTGGCAATTTATAATCAGATGCATGTATGATATGTCTATGTTTATGCATATTAGGTTTCCACACCAAATAAGTTTTCATCTTCAAAGTACAGGCGTGTGTTATATGTCCAAACAATCCATAATTATTACATTTTACTTTGGAAATGGTTTCCTAAGTTTTCTACCATTTATCTGTCTAGTCAGGGATTGCATAAATTTATGATACATAATAGGATTAGTAAAATCTTAAAGTTTAAGGGGTATCCTATTATCCTCGAGAGCTTTTATCGTTAATTTGTAAAATGAATTCATATCTTCTAAAATTTGATTTGTATAATTTGATCTATAAATTTTGCTCTCCGATTCATCCTTAAAATTTTTAAAATCTTTTTCAAATTTAGCATAATATGATTTTAGATTTTCATGTTTTTTATTCAAGTCATCAAATTTATCAAGTAATTTCATGTAGTTGTCATCAATTAAAGCATGATCTTTCATAAGGATTTCATGTTCCTTTTGTAATTCTTCAAATTCTAAACTTAGACTAGCATGCATTTTCTTCATTTTCCTATATGCATCATGCATGTATTCAGAAACTTCAAAAAATTCATCATAGGTTAAGTCACATACCTCTTCTTGATCTGACTGACCAAGATTATCGGCCATTAAGCACAGATTAGTGACTTCCTCTTTCTTCTCAGTCTCTGATAAATCTGAAGCTGAGTCCGCCCAGAAAGCTCTTTGAAACTTCTTCTTCTCCTTCTTTACAATTGATTTCTCCTCAACCTTCTCCTTGCTAGGAGTGGCTTTGAGTTTTGGGCAAGCAGTTTTAATATGACCAGGTTTCCTACACTCATAGCAAATCACTTCATTTGAAACTTTGGCATTTCTATTAAATTTACCTCTATTACAATGCTGGCGTCTCTTTTGCTTCCTCTTTAGAAAGTTTCTGAATTGTCTAGTCATCAATGTGATGTCGTCTTCATCCTTAGAGAACCGTCGTCCTTTTACACTATGCCCAGTGTTGGCAGAGAACCATCCTTTCTTTTACACTCTCCTAGTGTGGGTAGAGAACCCTTCATCTGTTCACACTCTTCTAGTGTGGGTAGAGAACCCTTCGGCTGTTCACACTCACTTAGTGTCGGCAGAGAACCAGATCTCCTTGACAGATCTTCTCACAAGAAATTTAGAAGGAAGAAAGAAAAGAGTGAAGTAATTCCAAATCAAAAGTATAAACTCTTACCTTTAATCACCAAGTGAAGCCTTCTCGCTCCAGTAGTAAGAATCTTCTTTCGAATGCTCTCTCACACTCTCTCCTTGACTCTTATTTCAATAGGCACGAAGATTAATGAGCAAAAAGATTATGTGGCAGTTTAGTTTGGACTATTTATAAGAAAGACACAAAAAATTGTCCAAAAACTGCAAATTTTCAAGTCAATACGTATTGGATCGTCCTGGATGATTTTACTTAAGTGCGTTGGAAACGAACCTAATATATATGGGTATGAAATGATTTTGTACACACACATCGTCCCGTACAAACTAGGTTTGTTCGGTACGAACGGTTATTCCATAGGTCGGTTCCCAAAAACTGTAGAACGACACTTAATTTTCAGAGTCGGTTCACTTCATCCTGGTACGAAGTTAAGGTTCGTTCGGACGAAAGTTTTACAGAGAGAAAATCATCCATGGACGAATACACTTCGTCCTGGATGGTAGCAATCCAGAGAGCAACTCGTCCTAGAACGAATACACTTCATTTTTGAACGAAAATTTTCCATAGAACATTTCATCATAGGACGAATACACTTCATCCTAGACGATCAGGACTTAGAAAAATGTCCTTCGACTCCTGCTCGTTCCATTGCTCTTATGAGGAGATAACTGACTTGATCGTCCCGTACGATCATTATACATTTTTCATGATCTCATTAAGTGTGTGTGTGTATTCACTCAATTACAATCACTCCCTTTCAAAACTTAATTCAAAGAAAAAAACATAAGTTTTAAATTCACAAAGTATCTCATGTTAAATTTGATTTGAAGTCTTTGTAGTATGGAGTTTGATTTTTCTGAAATGTTAGTACACACAAGAGCAAAAATAACTTTTCCAAAAAGTGTTAGGAGATAACTATACATAAAATAATAATATTTGAAAGGGAGATTTACATACATACCACTTAATACTATTCTATATACATATTTAACACCTAAAACTTTAATATTACATACATACCACCCATAGTTCATTTTCATACCAAATACGAGTGGTAGAAATGAAATATATGAGTGGTAGGAAAGAAATATAAGTGGTATATTTGATATTAAAATAATATAGAGTTGTATGCATGTAATATTAAAGTTTTAGGTGTTAGATATGTAAATAGGATGTTATAAAGTGGTATGTATGTAAATTTCCCTATTTGAAATTATCAAAAATATAAAAGTTGCAAGAATGTAAAACATGCAAATAGCAACTCTCTTAGCAGTTAGTACAATATGAATAATTATAATTAAAATTTCTTATTATTATTTTCCTATTTAAATTAAATATTTTAGTTAACTTCTATTAGACCTGATCTTGCAATACGATATAAATGTATACAGTACGAGTAACAAAGAAATAAAAATATTTAGTTTTCACTCCCTTTATGTGTGTGCATGGTTGTTAAGCTAACATATATCTTTTTACATACATTAACTCAAGAAAAAAAATATAATTACAGACTCTTTTAAATTATTCTAACATATACAACCCTTTCTTGAGCTCTAATTATCTTATGATACTTTATGTATACTGAACCTAAAATGTTAGTGCTGCACATAGAAAAATATGTAATATATAAAGTATGGAAAACTAAATAACCATTTAATAATATTTGTTATTATCAAAATATAAGGTCGAGCTCCCGGATAGTAATAAGACAATAGTACAACTCTTGTATTCCGTAGAAATTCCATAGTAACTTTCCAAACCCTATAAATAGGGAGGGGAAGAGGCAGTAGAAAAAGGGAATAAAGAGAGAAAAAGGAGACAAAAAGTATGTGTCAAGAGTCTACCAAAATATACAGAAAGATATTGTGTCAATTTTTCTTTTTCTATCTTGAGCTTTGCTAACAGAGCCCTTGTTCCTCCTATTTTTGTACTTTTGGTTGTGAATAAATATTTCATCTAGATCTATTTTTGGTCTCTTTCTATTCCACTTCCTCTTTATCTCTGCCTTCATGGTCCTTACCCATAGGCTCCCAAGCTTATAGATATCATAAAGTACGGTCGCATCATCCACTAGATAAATCTCGGTTCAACACCTCTCATTTATTTATTCAAGCTGCATGTTGGATAATCGACTTTGTTATTATATGTGGTGTCATATGGTCAGAACACTCAAAGAGTTCAATAGGATAATCATCTTTGTTATTGATAGAAATTACTTGCTAGATGGTCGAGGTTGTTGGTCTAGAAATGAAGTTGCCAATCTGTTGGACGATGTTGCCTACTTTCTATTGAAGTTGCTGGCCTTATTTGGACATTAGTGAGTAATTCCTAGTCTTGAGTGAACGATCTCTAAGCTTCAGCTACTTGGCCCTAAATTTGAGTAAGCAGGTCTTGTCTGGGCAACCTTGGCAAGATATTGTATACTTCTGTGTTTTAATTATAGGCTTGTTGAGTTGCTTAAGATCTCATCAATCTTTGTCTCCTCTATCCTAACAAATTGTCTTGGGTCAACCTAAGCCTGACTGAGTTGGCTTCTTAAATTATTTGGATGCTAATAGAGAGAAAAAAAGAAAGAAAATTAAAATTATAAAAAAATAAAAAGATTCAATCTATTTTGGCCCTTGAATATTTCTAAGTTGATAGACAAGTAAAAGAAGAACTTTTTAATGTTAAATTTAGTTGATGCAATAAAGGTTCTTATTTTTTGCACGTGATAAAATAATTAATATTTTGACTTGTATGCTTGAAGTGATGAAAGATGTTCTAAAATTGATTAAAAATATATAGTCATATACAAGTTTCAAACTTGGTACAAAGTTCATAATGGGTGATAGGTCCGATGCTGCTGAATCTGAGCCATCTTTTTATATGCTTGCCTTTTTTTGATTCAAAACTCAATCACAATGTTTCCATAGCGCCGAATGGAGAAACTGAGCCGACGTAAAAGAACATACAGAGAGAGAGAGTGGGCGTCACACATTATTGAGCGAGAGTGTTACAAATTTTATCAATTTTTTTAAAAATATTTGAATAATTAAGATAAATTCATCACATCACATGCATATATATATATTAAATCTAAATTTTTTAACTCTCCCATCAACAGACTAAAACGAGCTATGTAATTTTTCAAAAAAAAAAAAAAAAATGTTAAACCTCATTAATGCACTCCGACAAACCCCTCTCGCCTCTCCTTCGCGGCACTCGCACTCGCACTCGCACTCGCCTCCGGTCGCTTTGGGACCCCATTCTTCCTGGTCTTTCTTTTCCTTTCACCCGGATCTCTACTGCTGTGCTTTGCTGTGCACGGCCAGAGAGAAAGTAACTTTCGCCGTCCGATTGGATCTGGGTATCTCCTTTCAGCTAGGTGTAGACGCCCTCCAGCGTCAGCAGTGTGAATGCCGGTATCCTGGTCGGCCATGGATGCGCGAAGTCGCCTTTACGGCCGGTGATCCCTAACTTAATGTTGCCCGTGGCTTGTTTCAGGGGAAAGATGCGCGTACTTCTGATGCTTTCCCTCTGTCTGCTTCCACTTGGTAATTCCTCCTTCAGTGCCTCCCACCCACACTTTCTTTTGATTTATTTCCCTCTTCTCCCTGCAAAAGTATTGCTTTTGATGTGCTTCTTCGTGCATCGAACTGTAGATCTGCTTTTCTTGTTGAGATTTACGGGAAGTTTGTTGTTATGCTCATGATCCCTCTTTTAGATTTTGCTGCATTGCTCAAGAGATGACATGCTTGGGCAACTGGCAGTTGGATTTCGTTGAATTCGCAAAGATTCCAATGCTTGGACAAAAATATATAAGAATTGGCATCCAATGCTTGTGCTACTGAAGCGACTCCTTCTGGATGCCAATAGCATTTAGTAAATCAGATTCTAGTAAATCTAGATTTGTTTAATTGTTGTGGTGTTAAATCTTAATAATTGTTTGAATGTAGAAATGCTACAGTAGAGCGACATGTCAAATTATTTGGATGTATTTAGAGTATTTATGGATCTAAAGGGAATCTAATTGATTATAAAGAGTTGATGATATAGCTTATCGTATGATTTGGAGTGCGTTGGTGTCTATTGATTTCAAATAAGGATTTAGTAATGGCTTGTGTTTGGTACATTAGTAAGGGCCAAACCACATACACAGATTGGTATGAAATAAACTGTAGATTATTGAAGTTGCGTGAAAATAAGTAGCTTGAAGAAGAATCCATTGCCCCTATTATTTTTTTTTAGGCTAATAAACTGCAAAAAAAGATAACAGGTGAATCAAAATTAAGATGCATTATTGAATATCTGTTTGCACTGGATGATTGGCACCTACGTTTGGGCTTTATCCTTGAGTTTGTTAGACATGGTAATTTAACAGATTTCTTGTCCATGCTATCACATATTTTCAAAACAATACCTCAAGCAAACATTTCGAATTGCTCATTGGTTTATGATCAATGAATGCTGAGAAATGACAATGGGAGTGTTAGACCGGTCCTTAGTGGACTGGTCCAGCCGGCCCTTCTAAGGGGCCGGTTCGCATGTATCAGAGAAGGGGCGGCGACAATAAGGAGAAAGAGAGTTTGGGTGGGGTCCACTATTGATGTAGGCAGGGGGGGTGGGGGCAATTGATTTGCCTTAGTTTTGGGTTGATTAGATTCCTTGTCTGGGCTTGGTTGTTTTGGGTTTGGGTTGTCCCTTTGGTGAGCTGCTATGTTATTTTTTTAAATTCAGCTCATTATGTTATTTGGAATGCCTTTTTAGCTCATAAATGCAAGTCCTTGTTCTTTTCCCCCTCTTTGCTGCCCGTTCGGTTCCTCCGCCTTGCTCCTGTCCCGTGGCTGGCTGTTCCGGTTCCCTGTGGTTGCCCGTTCCTCTCCCCCGTGTGGTCCCTTCGACTGCTGCTCTTGGAGCCGCCTGCTGGCCTTCTGTTTCCCCCTTTCCTGATTGGTTCGGCTGGAGTTATTTGGGGTTGTTTGGCTTCCTCTTTTTACCTATATATATGTGTTGTTTTGTAAGAAAAAAAAGAGAGAGATTATGTGAGGATTTTTGGAACAAAACATGAGGGTTTTTCTTGGGAAAGCTTGCGAGCTATGTCCCCCTTTCTCTTCTCCTATCTATGACTTCTTCTCGGGCTTCTTATCTAATTCTTCTTTCCGCAAGTGGCCAGCCCATTTGTATTTTTCTTCTTAAACGCTATAAAAGTAGTTTTAGGTGTTTTATGATATAAGTTTGTAAGCGTCGTCTTTATAATATGAAAGTTAAGTTATGTTTTGTTTAAGTGTTATTTTTTGTTTGTTTATGGTATTTTCTTATCTTCAATGAAAGACAATTGTTTTTAGGCAATCAAGATACTCTATGTGACTTTTTAATTGCATCAATTTGGTATCAGAGTCTAGGTTAGTATATTCCTAGGTTTTTCGTGTCTTTTTTTAAGTATTTAGGAAAAAATGGAAAAAATTGATGAAATTGAGCCTGAGGTTGGAGATAGTAAACCAAATGTTCTCAACGAAGATATTCTTATGAGCCGATGGATTCCGACACAAGGAAATTCTACCAATCCTCTACAGAACGAGTTGTATCAAATTCAATATCAGATGCACTTATGTATGGAAAAATACGAGAAGAAAAAGAGATTTCTGCAAGACCAATTCAAGCAAGAAAGAGAAATGATCTTGAAGAAATATGTGGCTTTGATTCAAGATTTGGATGCGGCGCCTTTGTCTTGTCAGGAACGTACTCAAGCATCCTCATAAGGAGATGAGCCCTTTCAACCGGGGAAGAATTTG